GGTTTTGGTAGTGCTAATTGCCAATTGTGCGGTTGTGTAATGGAAACTGCACTTCATGCCTTGAGGGATTGCAGAGTTGCAATGCAAGTTTGGGCAAACAAGGTTCCTAGAAGTATCAGCATGGAATTTTATGGTGCAGATCTTCTAGAATGGATTAACTGTAATCTCAATGCAAGCACAACTTGGACTAGCTACTGGGCCGTAGGGTGCCATTGTTTATGGAATTGGAGGAATAAAGAATGCCATGACGTCGAGTATAATAGGCCGCTAGAGCCAATTTTGCACATTCATCGCAAAGCTAGTGATTATATGAATGCTTCGAAGATTCAACAAGTAATGGTTCATCGTGAGCAAAGCATGATTAATATGGGCTGGAAACCACCGGATCCAGGGTGGGTTAAGCTCAACACTGACAGTGCGAGGGTAAACAATGCAGTTGCAATCTGTGGTGGTATTATTAGAAACATAAACGATTATTGTTTGGGAGATTTCGCTAAATATTTGGGCCTTTGCAGTGTTATTAAGGCATAGTTGTGGGGTGTGTTCGAAAGCCTCGAAATTTTACGGGAGTTAAGATTCTCGAAAATTGATGTTAATGTAGATTTTAGTGTTGTTGCAGAGATAATCAATACAGGCATAGCAACTAATATGGATAGCATAGCAATAGTCAAGCACATAGCCAATCTAATTCAGTGCATTGGAGATATGAGAGTTTCACATTATTATCAGGAAGTCAACTTTTGTGCAGATGCATTAACAAAATTTGAAATTACTAGTGGTGGTGTAATTTTGTTTAAGGAAGATTTTCTGGAGTTTATTTTCCATTTACTCATATATAGTGATGTATTTGTTTAATTATTTTGTAATGATTTTGTTTACAGCTATATATGTTCTCAACTATGTTTGTTTGCTATTTTAATATCTTCCGTCAATTATTCACATGTGATTCCTTGTCTTTTTATTTTTTATATTTATTTATCTAATTTGATTTTTGTTATTATAATAAGCTATTTACAGGTAATATTAGTTTTTTTTACTAATGACAATTTAGGTAAAATGATTTTAACTAGATAGAATTAAGACCAAGCTTTTTATAGGTAGTAGTATTAGTTTCTTTAATTTATTATTAATGACAATTTAGATAAATATATATTAACTAGATAAAATTAAGACCATAATCAAAATTTATAGGTTAATATTTAATGTCTAATTTATTTTGTTTAAATTTGGTTTACCACTCGAATTTAAGTAATGATAAGTGTGACTTTTACATTATAATTAGAGCATTTATTAACATGTTTTTACAATAAATCATGATAAAAACCCTTTGTGGTAAATATTAGATTGTTCAAATTTTATGATAATATTTTCTGACATTTTCCACATTTATTGTACGATAATACACAAAACACGATCAAGGATCAAAGGATCCATTGATTTGGGAATTGCAAAAATTTGTTAGGCAATGACATCAATAACTTAGCGATCAAAGGCCACAAGAGTTTGAGGGATTTCAAGCCAAAGCAACTCCCGAAGCGCGCATGATAGCTCACGTAGCGAATCATGTCAACCAATTTCAAATGTTTTGAAGGAACACATTCGCGATGTAAGCAAGGTAGCTAGCCTAACAAATTATGGTGGTTTAAATGACTAACTTGGATGAGAAGGCAAAGACTTCACCATGAAGAAAGATTCCTCGCGATGAAAACAAACATTTCTCATAGTAAAATGTCATTCATCTAAATGCTATAAATAGAGTTTGCCGATCAAAAGTGGAAGGATATCGCATTTAAGAAAGAGGAAATATATATTTAGAAAGAAGAGGCACACATTTCTCAAAAACTATCATGTAGAGTTACTTGCCACCGTGAGTAAGTCTTCACCATTAAAATTTATAATATATTTATTAGGGCCTTTGAGTCTCTGTGCCTTTGTAGGAGAAACACATACATCTTGTATTTTTTGACCAGTACAGTGACGTCCACTATAGGACCGATAAAACTAACCTGAGCCACCTCTTTCACTCCAACTTTATCATCTCCCTTTCTCTCTAGAGTTGTCTAACGGGGTCTTACATCACGTAGAAAACACCGTTGTTAAAGGTATCTCTTGAAGGGGTCACTATAAGTCCTCTCGACGAATATATGTGAGGCAGGTGTTCACGAAAAATGTCATATCCTCCATCCTTTCTGAAAACACCATAGGAACGGTCGAGGTCAACATCGTTTTCTCCGAAGAAGATGAACTAGGCATTAAACCTCACAACAATGACCATTGGTCATCACCATTCAACATTGCAACTAGAATATCAGGTGCGTCCTGATAGACCCATGAAGCTCAACTGATGTTCTGTTTTGGAATGTCTTCTTGAAGTTACAACTAAATATAGACGATGTACAAGGCTTCACCACCTCTTTGACATGATTATTAGGTGAGTGGGTACAAATAATGCACTATGTGACCCTAAAAACCATATGCGGCGAGGGAGTTGGCGCAAAAACCATTGAAGTCAGCTACCTCACCGTGGACACCATGTCACATTACAATATTATCCCGGGACGTCTGATCATCAACGCCCTAGGAGGGGTCGCATCCACCTGATATTTAACCTTGAAATATTCGTTCCTAGATGGCAGAGTGGGCACCATCTAAGGAGATCAACAAGTGGCCCGCGAATGTTATTTGAGCAGTCTGGAGACAACTAGAGAAGAACTCACCCTCGTTGAAACCCATCCTTCTGAAGTTCTAAATGCTGACTTTGAGGGTTGGGAGCCCAAGCAAACCCTATAGGCAGACCGACTCAAGCCCATGGAAGACTTGAAGGAAGTCAAAATAGGACCTCATGTCCATCAAGTCACAAATACAGGCACTTCCTTGTCTGCATGGGATGAGCGGAAGCTAGTCGACTGATTTAGATGGAACATCAAATTATTTTCCTGGGCCCCTTAAACATTCCAGAAATAGGCTCTAAAGTCGTGAGCCATCGCTTTGCCATCCATCCATCCACCAAACCAGTTTCTCAGAGGAAACTGAAGGGAAGCAAGGAAAAGGGGGTTGTTATTGATGAAAAGGTGGACAATTTATCCAACATTAAATTCATCACTAAGACAAAATACCTGATCTGGATGGATAACATAGTCCTGGTGCGAAAGGCCAACAAAGAATGGTGCATATGCATAGACTTCACATATTTGAATGTTTCCTGCCCCAAGGATTTGTATTAGTTATCGTGTAATCGATGGTTCATTAGGATACCGTGTGTTTAGTTTCATAGATGTCTACTCGGGATACAACTAGATCAGGATGGATCCCATATACCTGCCCAAAAATATCTTCATGTCGAACCACGACAACTACTACTATAATGTCATGCCATTCAACTTGAAAAATGTCGGCCCCACGTACCAGCGACTCATAGACGCAATATTCACCCATCAGATTGGGCAAAATCTAGAGGTATATATCGATGAAATGATTATAAAAATGGCAAAGAGGCATAGTCATGTCGGCGACCTATTGACAAGCAATTTTTGACTGGGAGAATAAGCCTTAAGTTGTGAGGTTTATTTGGCTGAAAAGACATAAGTTTATTGGTGTGAGAACAATGTTGGTGTGAGAACAATGTTGGTGTAAGAACAACAAGAGACGTCGACCAAGACTAAAGGGCATCAAAAGGCATCGACCAAAGGAGCTAGTCAACGAGAGACTTGGGATTCAGAGACGGTCATCGACAAACATAGGTGTCGACGAATAAGGATTTATGGTGGTGGGAACGGTTATCAACACGCCAGCCAGTAAGAACGTGGGGAGGTTCAAAGAAAATTTTAGTACAGTTTCTCCATAAAGTCCCAACGTGGGCTAGTAACTGTCGACTGTTACATATTTAGAATTTCTATTTAAGCAAATGTTTGTAATTGTGTCAAAGGTCACATTTATTCGAATTTAAGAGTAATACGCTCAAAGTACCTGCATCTAAGAGAGAAACGAGTTTCAGGCTTGACAATGTATGAATGCTTCCACATTTAAATTCATAGCAATTTCCAGTCTTTTCATTTTAAATTACAAGTCTTGTCTTTAATTTATTCACTTTGCAATTGTCTTTATCTTTTTCCCTTTTACCTTTTATAAACCAGTTTCAACCCAAAAATACTCAAAATACTAAGTCTAGGATTATTGTAGTCAATCATGTAAGTAACCTTTAATAAGAGAAAATTTTGTTTGTGAGAAATTTTAAAGAGAAAATAATTTATTAAAAGAAATTAAAAATTCTATGTATATATATATATAAATATATTTTGGTATTTTTATCATGAAGAAACTAAATAATTTAAAATAAAATTAACTAAAAATGTCAATTAAAAATATTCACAAAGTCCTAAACTAAACTAATTAAGAAAATTATAAGAATTAGAAGAAAAAAAGATTTCAAACAGAAAATATGGGAGTGAGTAGCATCAATTTGCTATTGGGCTGAGTTAGGGATGAAAGGCCCAAATTTGCTTTTGTAAAAACAAGGAATAATTTTTGTTAAAAAAAAGAAACAAGAAGGCGACTTGATGAAAGGAATGGATTGGGCTCATAGGCTGCAGATTTTTGGATTTGGTCTTGGGATAAGGCCTAATAGAGATTTTTTGTCCAACAAAAAAAATGAAGCAAACAAAAAATAGAAAAAATTGGAAAATGTCCCTAGGGGGTCTCGAACCCAGGACTTCTTATTTTCATAGCAATACCTCGACCGTTGCACCAGTTACTCATTCGTATATTTTTGGGTTTCCATTAATTGATAAGCTAAAATTGTGAAATGGGTTGGGCCAAACCAAACAAGCCCAAACCCGGTTTGTGCTAAAGGGAATGGAAAAGTTGCAAACCCTAATTGAAGGGTTGGGGAGCGCCACATGCATGTCATAGGGAAGAGGCAAAAATTAAGATTTTTGTTGTCCCAACAAAAATAATTAAAAACCAGAAATATTATTTTCATCTTTCTTAGGACCGTACTCTCTCTATTCTTCAACACGAGCCTTTCCCAATTCATCATCCCAATCAACCAAAGCCACAATCTCCAAATCAACCAACCTAAACACATAACTATATATCCCAAGAATGTAGTCTCTAAAATCACAAGGAAGACCCAATTCTCTTCTCATCAACCTCAAAGCATGCACATGAAGAGTACCATTCAGCGACACCATAAGCAACTTCTTCACCCTCATCACAATCTCAAGCTCGCACCTTTTTACAACAATATATTACAACAATATCAACTCCTTCATCTTCCTCGTGATTCTCATCACATGTTCCTCCCAAAAGGGTGAAGAAAGAGGTAAAAAACATGAGGGTACTTTTGAAGAAAGGAAGTAACAATGACATTGAGTCTGAGGATGTTTCTCCAATGGGACATGAGATAAAGTGAAACGAAAGAACCGCATTTTCGATTTGACATGAGGATATGGATTTTTAGGACAAGGTTGAGTTTTTTTTTTAAATGGGTTAATTTGTCCAAGTGTGGGTCCCTGACTCGATCCTCCAAACGGGTTTGTGCTGAAATAACAGGTTTTTCCATCGTTTTTGGTTGAAGAGGAAAAAGGGTGAGAATGAAGTTGTGGTTGGTTGGAAGATTCTGTATCTGGAGGTTGATAGTGGATTCATTTAATTGTTGGGCCGAAGGAGATTAAGGTGGCGGTGCACGACCAGTAATAAAGTGCCGGCAGTGGCGTTGGGAGGTGTTACTCCGATGAGAAAGGTGAAGGCTTTGTACTAATGTCAAAATTGTCGCCTTGCAGGGCGTTACGGCTGCCCCCTCCGCTTTCTACCTCGTCTAAGTTAATTTGGTGTTACACTTGCAACACCATTGAGCCAGTTGAACCTTAAAATGGTTGTTCGCCAAAGTCAAAGGAGTACTTCATTGGATGTAGTGGTGGAAATGATAGTGTCCGGTGGGTTTTGATAGAAGGGTGGAAGGTAGGTTTCAAAGATGGGAGTATTTGGTATGGATGAAGCTACTCAGACAAAGATGGTTTAAAGCGGAACAAAATACAGCTGAAGGTGATGGTGGAAAAAGGGTATGATTTTACTAAGGTGTATCAGGTAGAACAAAAAGGTGTGTTGCGTGATGTTGATGGTTAGTATGTTTAGAACAGGGATGCAACATTTGACTTGGACAAGTTTTTTTTGTTTAACAGTAACAATAATAACAACTGAAATGGCTCAGATTTTAGTTTTCCAATTTCAGGTACAGTTTCGATGAATAGAAAATAACAACGATAGTTTCATGGAAGAACAATGCCAACTTGTATATCTAATATCTAATCAGTAAAAGTACAACAACAATTCAAAGCAACATAAAACAACAACATACTTATGAGACAAGAAAGGGAGACTTACAAAATTGGAGCAAGTCTGATGATTCTGACTCCGACAATAAATCGAGAAAACTAGAGGTAAAAATTGCTCCTTAACTTCTCCTTCTTCTTCTGAATAATTCTGAAATTTTTTAATCTTTGTGATATGATGGGGAACTTTGTATGTGGAGCCTGTATATAGTGTGTGCTGCTTTTTTTAACCGTGAAAATATGTTATCTGCCTTTTCTACTATTTCTGAAGTTGTTTATATTAGTGACAAAAGGTGAAAATTGGGAGGGAAAATGGGGATGAATTTGAACAGTTTTTGGCATGCTGCTTCATTGCTTTCTAGTGCAGTTTGTGTCTTCTAATTTGGTGCAATGTTTTGATGTTTGTGACAGGTTTTGGGGAAGCAACACAAGGGTTTTAATGCAGGTTTTGTGCAGCAGGTTTGGACTGGTGTTGGGCTGTTTGTGGACAGTAACAACAAGCTGGTTTTGGACTGATTTTCTTGGCATATTATGCAGTTCTTTGGACTGTTTTAGGCATGGTTTACAGGCTGATTATGGGTTGTTTTGGACAATTTTGGAGGACCTGGTTTGGCAAGTTATTTGCAAGGCATATGGCGACACTTGAATTAGATATTGAAAGTGAAGAATACTTGACTCATGGTGATTAAGATAAGGTTTATGTATAGGTTTAGAGCTTTAGTTTTCATGTAATTATGAATATAATTTTGTAATGAGATATGAATGGTGATGTATATTTGTAATGAACCTTGGAACAAGACAATGTTGAAAGTGCAAAGAAAATTGAATCTCGATAAAATCCAAAGATGGATCTTTTGAATGAATCATGATGAACTTTGATGGAAATCTTGAATATCTTGAATGACTTGAGTTTCTTAAGAGAAACCTTGGATGAAATCTTGAATGAGTGATAGTAGACGTGAATCAACGAATGAACTTGTCTTGATGACAATGGATAAATGCATCTTGAATCTTTGTATTGCAACAAAATTTGGGATTTGAATGAATTTTGCATTTCATACTTGCTTACTTGAATTCCAAACTTGCATCATAAGGAAATTGGTCCTTTTGAGACATTTTTTTTTCTTTTTCCATAAATTTCAATTATGAGCTTCTATTTGCAAATCCCCTTTGAATGCCCAAAATGAATGCTTCGTACAAATTATTCACAAATCTTAAACCGACTCATCTTGCATCATAAATCGAGCCAAACCTAAAAGGCCTTAAATGATCAGTACAAGTGGGCTTCAAAAATAAATTTGTTGCGTTGAGAAGTTGGCACCATGAATTGAAATTAGAAATCAAGAAACTTTTAAATAAAGAAAAAATGACCTATAAGGTTTCACTAAATTTCAAGGCCTTCTAAACACAAATTGACTTTGATTTTTTAAAGTAAACTTGTAGATGATATCCCTTATGACATTGTGCAAAAATAATCGTCTCAAGATCTTGAAAATTGAGGAAATTAGGATTCTTGGAAGTCAAGCAACAATTACTTGAGATTAGGTCAAAAATCCAGAAAGTGGTCTCTAAAGTATTCAAATTTTGATGATCTTTCGCACATAATCGGCTCTTGACTTGTAAAGAGAAATTAGAGATGAAATAAAGGAGAGTCATACACAAAAAGAACTGCTAAAAAATATCAAATAATGAAGAAGTTACAATTGTTTGAACTTGATTTTGAAAAGGTCGACTTTTGGGTCAATGCAGCTGATTTTCAGTCATCTGAACCATTGACTGAGAAAACTTGTGATGTGAGGCTTGGAACTTGACATGAGCATCCTTGAGAATACATGAAGAACCATGAAGACCACTTGAAACCTTAGAAACTCAATCTTTCTTAAAAAACACCAAACCCTAGTCGTGGACTCAATACCTAGGAGGAGAATCTGTCTGATCAAATCCTGAGCCATTTTGAGTATTTGAGATACCCTAGGAAAACATCTTGAATGGAAAATGGGAGGGAAAATTTTGGGGTACAATAGCTGCCCTTGTTCAATCTTCTTAAACTTGAAAAGTGAGATTGGCATGTTCGTCGTTCGTAGCTTGAAAGTGGAAGATGATTGAACACTAGAGTACCCAGAAATTTGCACTCGCTTGTGCAAGAAGTACCACTGTGGACTTATCATATCGAGAATGGGCTTATAAATGCCATTTGGAGAGTGACTAAATATTGTCGGAGATGGATTTATAGATGCCATTAGAAATGGTTGAGAATCGTCGGAGATGGGCTTATAGATGCAATCCAGAAATGACAGTTGATAGAGAAATTAGACTAGGTCTAATGCTTGACTTCAACTAGGACAAGTATCAGAATAAATATTTGGTCGATTTAATCTGAGCCAGAAAAGGGTCTACTGAGAGAAGTATCAGAATAAATCTTTGGTCGATTTATACCGAAATAGTAGATGTCCTTCGTCTGTCTTTAATGGGAAGAAGTAAATCTTAACCAGAAGAGGTCTTTGTTCTCCTGTCTTTAACTGATAGAAATGAATCTAATCAGAAGAGGTCTTCGTGCGTCTTTCTTAAACTGATAGAAATAAATCTAATCAGAAGAGGTCTTCGTGCGCCTGTCTTTAACTGATAGAAATAAATCTAATCAGAAGAGGTCTTTGTCTGCCTGTCTTTAACTGATAGAAATAAATCTAATCAGAAGAGGTCTTTGTCTGCATGTCTTTAACTGATAGAAATAAATCTGATCAGAAGAGGTCTTGTGATTGGTGACTTCACTGGGGAAATAATTCTAACCAGAAGAGGCCTATTGGTTGACTATTATTAAATAGAAGAAATGATTCTATCCATAAGAGGACTATTGATTGCATATTATTAATTGGAAGATGTGAATCTATCCAGAAGAGGACTTTTGTTTTGTTAATTGACTTTTCCTACAAGGAAGAGGGTTAGTTTCATGCAGATGTATGCATGTCGTAATGATGTTCTCAAAATAAATGAGATTATGTCGTATGAATTTATCATGTATGTAACATGATGTGAAATATTGTTGAAATGTATCTTTGTCTTAGAAAATAAATCCTTGACAAATGCTGGGGAGCTTTGGGAAGCTAAATCCCAGACTGCTGTCAGGGATGGAGAGTATGCACATCTTCAGGCATTGTTTAGAATGTTTCCACCGGGGATTCCTATTTTGCTGTTTGAGAAGAAAACCGCTGGGGAACATTGATTTTGGCTCTTTGCTTGAGGAAACTCTACGGGGAATGTTGATTTCTGCTTGGGGAATAAAGTTCAGGAGCTTTGGTTGTCCATTACTCTACTGGGGAATTATACTTGACCGGGGAGAATTGAAATTTAGTTGTTATATGGTCGAAATCCAGGCTTCGCAACAACTTGCTGGGGATAATAAAGTCAACTGTTATTTGGTCCGATTCCAGGCTTCACAAAAACTTACCATGGAAGATGAAATTAACTTTTATCTGGTCGGATTCCAGGCTTCACAGAAAATTACTTGGAAGAATGAAGTTTAACTGTTATTTGGTCGAATTTTAGGCTTTGCAGCAACTTAGATGAAGTTAACTATTATCTGGTCGGATTCCAAGCTTCACAACAACTTAGGTGAAGTTAAACTGTTATCTGGTCGGATTCCAGGCTTTGTAGCAACTTAGATGAAGTTAAACGGTTATCTGGTCAGATTCCAGGCTTCGTAGCAACTTAGATGAAAGTATGAAGTTAATTGTTATCTAGCTGAATTCCAGGTTTTGCAGCAACTTACTGGGATGAAGTTAACTGTTATTTGGTCGAATTCCAGGCTTCACAGCAACTTAGATGAAAGGATGAAGTTAACTGTTATCTGGTCGGATTCCAGGCTTCGCAGCAACTTACTAGGATAATAATGACTCTGTTGGAGATTGCAATGATTCTACCGGGGATTAAGGGGTTTTGTCCATTGATTTGTAATAGTCTGAGAGGCAAACTCAAGTTGGGGAATTTGTAGTTTTTTTGGGAAATAAACCCTGTTGAAGAGAACATTTTGACGACCTACTGGGGGAAATGAATTATTTAAGGAGAACTCCATAGGATTATTTTTTAAGACCCACTCAGCTGGGATAGGGTTTCTAAGAGATTGGAACTCTGGATGTATGAATTTGACTCAGTGGGAAAATTTTTGTTGTAGTAACTCTGTGGGGAATATCCCAAATCCTTAAGGAAATGCTTATTACTGCTTTTATGCATACACTTGTTAACAATTTAATCATGTTCATATGCATACGTTCATTCAATTTTAGTCATTGGACACTTTTGCACTCAAAACAGAAAAAACAAAAAGTTGCACTTCAAAGTATATCTGTATTGATGTTTTACCCATAAATAGGCGTCTTTGTACAAGGAGACAGAGATCCTAGTAAGAGGAAATTGTCGAAAGAATGAAAGGAATACAAAGTGAAAACAAAAATAATATCCATGTGGAAGTGATCTCATTGGGTTTCAACTCCGCTATTGCCCCTATATCTTCGAACATCATCCCTTGTCGTTGAAAGAAGTCGATTGAATTGATCTTATACCATTGAATTTGGACCTTGGTAATAAAGGTGGCTGCAGAGATCCAACGGGACATAGTCGTACACTTTAAACCTTAAACTTTTCCTAGACCACCCTTTCAGGTTTTCAGTCTACTAGGATACCCATTTTTGCCCAAGCCTCCCTTTCGGGGTTTCGACTTACCGGGTGTACAATATTTTATATATATCCCTAACTTTTTCCCAAACCTTTTTGGTTCACCGGGATGCCCTTATTTTTGCTTGGATGTGTCAACCTAGTGGGTCATTTTATGAATAGTATTTTTTGACTATGTCCGCGTTCATAGAATGTGGGAAATCTTCGCCGTCCATAGTAATCAGCATCATGGCACCACCAGAGAAAACTTTCTAGACAATAAATGGCCCTTTGTATGTGGGAGTCCATTTGCCTCTGGGGTCGCCTTGTGGAAGACTGATGCGCTTTATTACCAAGTCGCCAGTCTGATACACTCGAGGCTTGATCTTTTTGTTGAAAGCCTTGATCATACGTTTTTTTGATACATTTGACCATGACAAACAACAACCAGTCTCTTCTCATCAATCAAGTTCAATTGATCCAACTTAGTCTGAATCCATTCATCCCCGCCTAGATCTGTCTCTTTCATAATCCTTAGGGAAGGAATCTGAACCTCAACAGGCATGAAAACCTCCATGCCATAGACTAAAGAGAAATGAGTTGCCCCAGTTGACGTTCAAGATGAAGTACGATAGCCATGAAGATCAAATGGTAGCTTCTCATGCCAGTCTTTGTAGGTTACAACCATCTTTTTCACAATCTTCTTGATATTTTTAATGGCAGCTTCCACTGCGCCATTCATTTTAGGCTGTATGGAGAAGAATTGTGATGTTTGATTTTGAATTGCACGTAATCATAGCATTTTTGAGATTGGTTCCGTTGTTAGTGATGATCCTTTCGGGGATACCGTAACGACAAATGAGGTTATTCTTGATAAACTGGGCTACAACGTTCTTCGTTACTGAGGCATATGAGGCAACTTCGACCCATTTGGTGAAGTAGTCAATAGCAACAAAGATGAAACGGTGTGTAACGCCCGTAATTTAATTAATTATTTAATTAAATTATTTTTGGAATATTTATGAAGATGTGTTATAATTAATTGGATTTATTTTATTAAGTGGAGAAATAATATTAGAGATATAATATTATGTGGTGAAATAATATTAGAAGTGTAATATTATTTAATGTGGGCTTATTTTGGGAGAATAGAAGTAATATGGGGGTGTGTTGGTTTTAAGCCCAATGAGGAATAATAGAATAATAGGGTTATTTTATTA